TATATCACTAATTATAGTAATTATATTGTTTAAATTGTAACTTAGCCTACATGTGACCTAATTCTGTATTACTTACGTATGTACGTACCAGTATAATTTTTTCTAGCCGTGTACATAGTGTACATACCTATTGAGTTACTTCTGGGAAGTTTATAATTTACTTCTCATACATACATAATTTACTACTAAGTTTTTAATTCTCATAAAATTATTGCTTTATTTGCCTATGTTAACCGAAATGCGTCAACTCTGACCTTTTGTTTAGTATAGGATGGTGGAACAAACGTCGATGACGTCATTTATAGCTAACACGGTGATCAAAATCAATAATGTTGCATTCCTGTCCCCAAGAGACTGTCAAACTATCGAGTTATGCGGCACTGAATGCCTGCTTAGGACCCGTACCTAATAGTTATGGATGTTGTATCTATAACTCAGTATAAGCTGCTGTAGAAGCCACCCTTCACGACAGTAGTATTTAGTACTCTATTTGAAGAGATTCAAACATTGTCTTTTATAGTTTTCTGTCTAGAAAATCATGGTGATGGTCCTTTTTTTGTTGAGGGAGTAAAATCATCGAATGACTTCTGCCGCCTGGGTGAGGCGGGAAGGAGTGTCAGAATCTTACTGACTAAAAACCACCCCGTTCCTACTCCTGCACTTCGAGCCGGAGCCCCGGTAACCCGTTAAGTCCTCCGCGACTATGTATCAGTGTCAGCCCTATTGGGCTCCATCCGTGGTGGATCTTGGGCGCGCGCAGAACGCGACGCGCCATACGCTTAGGTCTGGTTCGGTTGAGCGGCGATGGTGTGTGTAAGATTTTTCCTTTAAGAATATTTCAATAGCACAATATATAGATTATATTTTGGAATACTTTTACTGAAAGCACTTCCAACTTCACATTTAAGTTTCGCAAAGTGCGTTAATGTCTCGAAGAAAAAGTTTCAAGGAAAATCATAGCATTAGTGCGGCTGAGTTTCTTGGACAAGCTCTGTCATTACTGTAACTACTGTTAAGTTTTTCATTTCACTTATTTTAATAGTCTTGTAATATTATTAACTAGTGAGCCGCCCCGGCTTCGGAATATGTGGAATATGCATGTATTATATACTATATCTATTAAAAGAAATCGCATCAAAATCCGTTGCGTACTTTTAAAGATCTAAACGTTCATAGGGACATACACACAGGGGATAGCGACTTTGTTTTATGCTATGTAGTGATTATTCTTACATTATGTTTGTTAATGTTTTTATAATAACTATCGTGAGACATACTAAATTAACTAGGTATACTAAATCAGCCAGTAGGCTGCGCGACATCGCCGCGACCGCGCACGTCTCTCATGAGGAAGAGCCTATGTCGCTGGAAACTAATAGAACTTTTCTTAGTATATTCACGTGAGTAAACAGCGATTTTTAGTTAATGTTTGTTAATTTGAAAATACCGTCATCAGTTCAAAGGAGTAGCAATTGTGTGTGGTAGTAGGTTGTTTACATCGGGACTGGTTTGGGAAAATGTAGTGTCGACCTCCAGTTGGATGAAGTGGCGATAACCACAAACGTGGTTGTACGGGAAGCATTGAAAATCGAGTTCAGAAACATATTGTGTAAAAAGCCATTCCAGACATAATCAGAGAGGATGATATTATTGGTAGAAGGAAAATGAATTGTTAGTATCGTTGTGATAGAGGGTCAGCCTATAGCAAATCATAAACCACAATTCCTTACCTACTGGTTACAGAAAGAAGAAAACAAAATAAAAACGACAACTTCGGTAAACAAGGGCATCCATAGCGACAATGATCGCTATAGATAGGCACTCATAGTGGAGTGGGCCGACGAAAATAGCTACAGTATCAGTTGGAAAGGACAACAGCTGAGTGCACTAGTTGTCCATAGTTTCGATATTGGCAAAGTTCTACGGTCACGAACTTGCTCGATGGCCTGTATTTAACGATACTAGTAATGGGCCACTCGTAATGGTATTGTCGCACTATTACTTTTGATTGGGCAAGTCTAAACAGAACTATTGTAGTACTACAGTTATTCTTAATGCAGGACTTAGGTTTTCCTTGTATTCAGTTTTACTTGCGTTGTTTAGTTAATTTTATTGGTTCATAATCAAGTTTGTGAAACCGATATTTTGTTCTAGTGAACAATAGTCGGCTTGTCTCTTGTCACATAAG